GTCAACACGCGCGCCTCTGCCGGCTTCGACAGGCTCATCCGTGAGTACCAGCGGTGCTGGCGGCGCCGGGCTCCGCTGCCCCAGCGAGCGCGGAGCCGGGCCGGGGCTCGCCTGGCTTCGGGCAGCCGCCCCGTGCCTCTTCCCTTAGACTACCGTTAGTTTCATTTCAAAAATCTGCTTGCTGAGTCCATGTAAAGCGCGTCGGCGCTTTGCCAGGCGGTGAACAGGAAACGTCAGGCTCCTCGGACAGGTTGCTGTCCAAGTAGTGTGGCTTTTTCCTTGGCTAGGGTCAGTAATGTGCCTTGCTTGTCCTAATTCTGTATTCGCTCATCCCTTGCGTAGGTTACTATGCATTTGTGTCTGCACCAATCTTTGGAAATACATTTTTTAAGGCTTTTGGCTTGCTAGAATGGGTTGGAGTGGCTACCTGTTTTTCATAATAAATTCACCTGTATCTGAAATCGTAAATCACCTTAAAAGAGCTGTGTGCTTTCTGGGGCTCATCTAGCCCACTTGGTACTCTTTTATTGCTATATGTCCTAGATGTGAAGAGATGTTGGCTACTGTAGGTGGTTCGTTTTAATGAATTTCGGGAGAATCAAGCTATCCACAGCGAGTGTGTGTTTACATCGTTCATTTACTAATCTCTCTCTTTCTGTCCTTTAGTGCTGTGGAACGTCTATGGGGACTGTGATAATTATGCCACCCTGAAGGGACACAGTGGAGCGGTTATGGAGTTGCACTATAACACAGATGGCAGGTAAATGTTGTGAGGTCGGTTTTCTGCCTCACTTCTTGCTGTTTCTGAACAAAGTCTACAGACAGTTTTGGGAGAGTGGCAGCATCTGTCATGCACCTCAGCCACACTCATTTAGGTGGCTCGTGAGGGGCGCTTGGCAGTTTTCAGGGCAACGTATTTGCTGCTGGCCAGCCAGACTCCTTTAGAGCTCCTCCTGTTCATTGCAGCTGCTTAGTTGACCTTCATTAATGGTACTGAAGAGGAGCACTTGTACTGTGGCTTTCCCAGGAAGGGAGTGTGCCTGCTTGAGATTAAGCAAAAGATATGGAGCTACTTGTGACCTAGGAGTGCCCTTGATTTCAATCTTGAGGAACACGTGAAAGTCTGAGCTGGTCTTGAGCGAGATGCTGGTTGGTTGGGGAGTGAAAGAAAACAAGTGAGATATTTCTTAATTTGGAAGATTGTTCCGCTGTTACATCTTAACCAGGAGTGCTACAAAGAATTCTTTCTCCTGTGTTCTCATCCTAGATAGTGTTTGAGCAGGTGGAAAACCAATACGTACTGATCAAAAAATGGGTTTAGATGGGAGCATCTCCACTGTACTTGTTCCACGGTCATTCAGTCTGCGCTGACCAGAATTGTCTTTGCACCAGCCTTTGCATATTGGGCGTAGTTCTTCTCAATGACATGTTTGTGTTTAACGTTTCGAGCTCTGCTCTCGGTACTTGGGAGTAACAAAAGTAGAATGGGAGAAATGCCTCTGAAATGGAGAACTTCACAGCTGTTCTTCTCCGCAGCATGCTCTTCTCAGCATCCACAGACAAAACAGTGGCAGTGTGGGATAGTGAGACGGGAGAGAGAGTAAAGAGACTGAAGGGCCATACGTCATTCGTTAACTCCTGTTACCCAGCAAGGCGTGGACCCCAACTTGTCTGTACGGGTAGTGATGATGGGACAGTGAAGGTCAGTGCGTTGTATAAGGAGATAGTCCTTTTTTGTTTTTACTGGTTCAGTGAGTTAAATTCAGCCTTTCTTTACTGTCTCATAATTTCATTATCTAACAACTTCAATAAAACTTGATACTTCTTTTCCTTCCACGATTCTTTGAGTATGGGTTCAGGAGATGCAGTTGGGATACCATATTGGAGCAGCCTAAACAAACCATTGTCTCATTAAAGGAGGACTGTCTTCTTTCTGTGTAACAGTGTGCTTGTTTGTGATGCATTGTAATCGATATAGATTTAATGCAAAATAAATCAAGTTTTACTGCAGTGTAGAACAGCATAAACAAAACATGAGGAAGGCAAACAGGTACTGAAATCTTTTACTCCAGCTCCTTCTTGCCCCGTCCCCTATTTTCAGAAATCGAAAAGTCCTGTGTTCCTGACCATAGCATGTCTCTGCTATTATTTTTGTAGCTAACTCTTGAGATCTAAAAAAGTGAGTTTCAGTAGAGCAGTCAGAGACCCGGCAACGTGTCTGCAACTTTCTATGATTTTATTGTTAAATGCCTCTCTGTAACTTTTAAAATTGGCATATCTTTTCAGCTGTGGGATATCAGGAAAAAAGCTGCTGTCCAAACATTTCAGAACACTTACCAAGTCTTGGCTGTGACTTTCAATGACACCAGTGATCAAATCATATCGGGGGGCATTGACAATGATATTAAGGTATGATGATTTCTATCTTGTGCATCTGTTCTGACTTTACACACCTTTTCCGTCCCATCAGATTTTGATTGTAGCGAAATGCAAGATATAGCAATGGTCGAGGGAAAACGTGGAAGCCTGTTGGTTAACTTTACAGTCACAATAACTGCGAGGACCCACTATGCGCAACCTCTCTGTTGGCACAGGCCTTGTAAACTATTAAGGAGTCGTTCCAAGGCTGTTTGCCATGTGACTGATGATGTCCCTGGGCATGCATGCCAGCACTTCTGTCACACAGTGGAGGTGAATGCCATCCTCTGAGAAGTGATGTGGTATGCTAGCTCTTCTGGCAGATCGTCTGTCCCAGAGGCAGGTAGGGCTGTGTGTGAAGTGGACTAAAAAAGCTTAGTGACGCATTCGCACTCTTTGCCCTCTTCTGCAGTTTGCTCTTGCAATTTATTTTGTCTCTTGCTACTGTGGAAAGCCCTTGTTTAAGAGCAAGCTCAGTGTTTCATTCCTTCCCAACTGAGATTCTCTGGATAGCTTTACAGTTCAGTAGGTCTTTTTATGTTTTCAGGCTCAGGCTCCAGGCTTACCTAGGCATGGGGAATGCGTCCTTGTCAGAGAGCCATCACTAGGTGTTGCACTGAAATGGCATCTTTTCTGACTGCCCCTTGGAAGTAACTGGGAAAGAACAGCATGACATTTTGGGGGTTTGACTGCCCCTTGTCTGTGCCGTTGCATTGGGCAGTGGAATTTGAGAGCTGGGGGAGCTATAGCCAGATAGAAAGCGGCTCCTACATGCACGAGGCTGCTGGCATTTAGCTCCTTGCTGCTACTGTGGTTTGACATGTTAGGTAAGAAGTCTTTTAAAGGGTAAATCCTGTTTTTCCTATCATGCATCTAAAACTCTAGACTTAAGAGTTTATCCATTCAAATCCCACCCTGCTGAAATAGAAAGCTGATTCCATCAAATGGCTGGTCAGCGCCTGCTTGAAATTATTTGGAATCAGCAGTTCCGATGGTCTTCTCTGTCCTCCTGTTACGCCACAATTTCATGTCTGCTGTCTGAAAGGTATGGGACCTTCGCCAGAACAAGCTCACTTACACGATGAGAGGACACGCGGACTCTGTGACAGGCCTCAGTCTGAGTTCAGAAGGCTCTTACCTGCTCTCTAATGCAATGGACAACACAGGTACATCCTATGCAAACTGAAAGTGCAGCTGTACAGGCAGCTTTCTGGCGCTACTTTCTTAGGCTAGCCGTTGGACGGCTTCAGGTGGCATTTTGGAAGGAGCAGCTCAAATTGTTCCACGTAGAAGAACGAGAGAGTCAGACATGGGATGGGCTGAAGGGAGTTTGGCTCCAGAGATAAAGCTGGAATTTTTGTCATTATGACGGTAACAATTGGGTTCTTTGCAGAGAGGGAGCAGCTGTATCAGGAGGGTTTGTCACGTCTCCCAAAGGGCAACGAGGACACATGCCATAGTACAAGTTATTTGCGCAGACAGTTGAATGTGATCTTGGCTTGGCTTTTGTCAGGGTGGTTCAGCTGTTTCCCCTCAGCAGGGAATGACACTACTGTTTCCAAACTGCTCGTCTTCTGTGTGTGGGTGCTCAGTGAAGCGGATCTGATTAGAAGTGTGATCACGAAGCGTATTAGAATAAAACAAATGCTCATATAAGGAGAGAGTGGCTCATTTGTGTAATAGTTGTATTTTGTTTTCCCCTTCCTGTTGGCAGGAACAGTGTCTTGGTATAACTATTAATTCTTGCATTTGAGCTTTCATATCAAAGCTTTTTGCAAAGGGAATGTGAGCTGCTGCTTTCCTTTTGCTTCTGGGGAAACCTAGTTGTGAGCAGAGCAAAGAACATGATCAAGTCTGATCATCAGTAGTATGTCTTGGCAAAAGTAACGTTTCCAGAAACCCTGCACCCATGTTTCCTTGCATCCGTGACTCAGCGATCTTCAGCTAATTACTGTTAGCTCTGCTCTGTTGCAGTTCGTATCTGGGATGTACGACCGTTTGCACCTAAAGAGAGATGTGTAAAGATATTCCAGGGGAACGTGCATAATTTTGAAAAGGTGAGTGTACTACAGTGTGTATATATATATACATATATATATTTTAACACTGCTGCCATCTATTAACTTACCTGTAAATTGTTTTTTAAATTCAAGTATAAACCAGAAAGGCTTTAATAAGGACTCAAAGATTAATGCACAAAGTGGGATTCCAATTAAAGCTGCAGTAACAAGATTTCTGTGCTCAGTTCAGCTATAATTAGCTGTAAATTAAGTATTTTCTACATTTACCGTCTACTTTGTGTGAAATAGCAGGACACTGGATGTTTCCAGTGATGAAGTAAATCTGTACTTACCATCTCATCTTTCAAAGGGAGAGATCATTAAAGTGGTGCTCATGATATTTGAAGTCTCGGGGTGATTTTATTTTGAGTAGAAGGGGAAACTCAGTCTTATTTTGGAAATAGAACTGTGCACCTTCTTTTATTTTAGAATCTTCTGAGATGTTCTTGGTCCCCAGATGGGAGTAAAATAGCAGGGGGATCAGCAGACAGGTGAGTTATCGCTGTGTTTCTCTGTTGCCGTCAATCCCAAACCGTTTTGCCAGTGTTCCTTAGTCCAGACCCATGAATCCAATGAGGCTGGATCACCTCTTAAATATTTGAGTATGAAGAGTCAGAGTTGTGCATAGAGGCGTGAAGACCTGACCGACCCCCTTGGTGTGCTGTGACCGTTGTCTGCAGTAGTTACAACAGTGATGTGTTTATGTTGGTTTTCTGTCAAAGGGGAAGCACTACACAGTTAAAAAACTGTCTTATTATCGAAGGCTGACAAGAGGTCTGCACTACTGCTAATGTTCAAACTGGATCCAGTAAGAGGAGAAGCAGATGACAGGAGCGTCCCTGTGGGTTGACTAGGTCTCTTACAGTGTTAGCAGCAGGCTCCTGTGAAACTCTTTTGGAAGCAGAGAGTCTGCTGAACTGGTGCATAGTGTTGTGATTATACCGATAAGGACCATGCATATCAGCAAAATTGCAGAGTGGTGGCTAGCAGGAAGAGCCAGTGGTATTCCAAGGATCGTTCTTGATTTTATTTTCATTAGTGAGCGTGAAGAAGTAAAGATCTGACTAAACTAGCATTTATGGAGCTTTTAAATGAGAAATCATATAAGCTAAGGCAACAAAGGAGTAAAACAAGTAGCAGGAGGAAGCCTGTGGAGGGTCTGTGCCAGGCACTGAAGGTCACTGTGAAGGATAGCAACCCTGCTGGAACGAATTCCGATGCACTCTCAGTGACATCGAGACAGGAATTCCTGCAGGCCAGAGTCCAGGGCATGGAGCAGTAGTAATCAGCAAATTAATGAGTTTCTGATAGTGGATAGGGAGAACGTTAGCTCTTACAGCCCAGTTACAGTGGGGCCAGCTGTCACACGAAGTGGCTGAGACCCGACTCCTTTTCCAGTCCTGCTGGGTAATAACGGCATTGCACGCGGGTGACAGAGTATCTGTTATTTGTTAACGTACGAATGCCGTGGCAGATTCCAGAGCAAGCAACCTGATATGGTGAAGCGTTGCATGAAATATTAGGCCATTAGGTTAGTTCTGCAGGTGCTGGTGTAGCTGTGCAGTCTGACAGCATCTTTGTTGTGAAATGCGTCGTGAAGTGCATACAGCCAGGTCCCGGGGTGGATTAGATAAGGCCACGCGGAAATATTTCTGTTGCTATCTCTGGGCTTTTAAACGTTTTTTGAGAAGGAATCTCTGATGGGAAAGCAAAGCAAGATTAAATGTTCCCCTTCTCTGAGTAAAAAATAGGTGCCCAGTGAGAACTCTCTTCTGCATTATGTGGAACGTTTGTGTGTATGGGCGCGTGTCTGTCTCTATGTTGTCGGAACAATTATCTGAGTCATTTTTTTGCTTTTGATCCCTTCAGAGGTGGTTTTAGTTAAAAGAACTACTGAAAGTGCTTTCCTGCTTTGCAGTACCAAAGGGAAAAAACAGCAGCAGATCCTGTGAGAAAGGATTTGATACAGTTCTTGCCTACTAAGGTGAAATAGCTGTGGTTGAAGAAATGCTGCTGTAAATAGCATTCACAACTTGGGCTGCGTGCTTTATATGTTTCAAGAAAATAATTCAAAGAATGGTGCTAACCTGAAAAGGAATGTGCTTAACAAAGCAGATCTGCCCTGTCTTCATATCCAGAGTCTTTTCTGACTGGCCAACAAATGTTAGCAGTAAGTCTTGGTGTTGTTTTGGGGAAAAGAAACCGAATTCTAGTCCAACTAAGAGAAAAGTGTAACTGCAGAAGCGAATCATGTTCTCTGTCGGGTTTGCAAAGCCCTGTCAAATGGAAATGGACAGGTGAAACTGAGGAACTTGTCGATAGCATTGCATAAGCCTGAAATGCCTTGGTATTCAGAGCTTGGACTGTTTGCGGGACTGATGAAAGGTGTGTTTACCTCAAGCCCTTTTGAGTTTGTGAGGACTAGATGTGGTGCTGCAGAGTGGCGTTTATAATAGAGTCCTTGCTTTGGAGGACCGTAACGTAGGTGGCTTTTACGCGTGTTCTATTCTTGCTTGGTTGTCCACCATGCCCTTACCCCTTTTGCAGTGTCCTCTTTTACATAGCCTTAGTGGTGCCTCTTGAGCTTGAGGGCAACGGAGTTGCTCTTCACGCTGAGCCTGGACAGCTTCTGCACTGCCAGTTTCTTTTTTTCTGCCCACTGACAGATTTAGTTTTAGATGCCAGTCACCTACCTAAAGAGCAAAGCATGAAGGCAGAATGAGTGAAATCCAAAATAGGCAGCTTTCCTGAGCCACTGATTTTTTTTGAAGAGATGTGAACCTTGTAGCAAATGACATTTCATGTGGTGAAGCCCTTATGTTTGGAAGGGAAGTTGTGCGGGTGGGATACAGTGTTGTCCATCCTGGTTTGTAACATGTTGCTCAGAGCTCTATTGGTTCTGATTTATGAAAAACCACTCCTACGAAAGTTCCTTATAACTAGGGTCAAAGCACCACTTTGTTTTCTCGTGGAACTTGTGTATTATCCGAACAGGTGGCTGCTGCACCGTACGGACAGCAGTCAACACCCACAGCAGATGGTATTTTACGCGGGGAGATAGTCTGAGTTCTTGGGCACTGTGTGAGTTGCAGAAAGGTGGTTTTTTCCCCCTCTCTGAGACTGTTTATAAAAATAATCTGCTTAAAAGCTGCACTGTGCATGGCGCCTGCAGTGTAGTTCTGACCTATTAGCTGAAGAAATCTGGCGGTTTTTGTGCTGTCCTTCAGCCAAGGTAAGGCAGCACCCAAGCGTGGTGTGAGCCCACAGTGAGGAGAAAGACCTGAAAGAGATTAATCAAAGGGCTTGATGCAATTTGATCAGCCCCTAATAAATGCCGAGATGTGAATCATGACTTTAGTGGCGTAGCAGGAAGACGCCCATATATAACGGTTGCTGACTGTGAGGAATTACACTGTAGCAGGGGTTGGGGAGAGGAGAGCACCCAGCTGCCACCTCACCACTTGCCTGCCAGCCTGCACTGACAACAACTGCTGGGCTCGCAGGCACGTGTTTGTGAGGACAAGGACAGTCCTTTCCATTCCTGATGCTACTTTTGTCCCTTACTCACGTTATTGCTGCTACGTTGAGGGTCTCTCTATGGCCTCGTATTTTCGAATGTCTTCATGCCGTGATGGATGAAACGGGGCTGTCCTGCCATGACAGTGGCAAGGTTTTAAACAGGGAATTGGCATGTCAGCCGATACCTGCTCAGACCTTTATTCTTTTGAATTCAGCAGTGCTGCATTTTCTCTTTGTTTACCCATGCTAATAGCTGCAGTTACTACACTCTGGGTGGTGAACTGCTGCAGAAAGAAGCCATAGGTTTGGGAGGCAGATGCTTTCCATTTTAAAAGTGCCTGCTCTCATAACAACTGTCTTACAGGTTTGTCTATGTGTGGGACACCACATCCAGGAGGATTTTGTACAAGCTGCCAGGCCACGCCGGCTCCGTGAATGAACTGGCTTTCCATCCGGAGGAACCCATTAGTAAGTCCTGCCCAACTCAAGTCAGCTGGGGAAATAGTTTCAGGGCTGGCATAACTGCTCATTCCTCCTGACAGCAGCCCAAAATCTGCCTGTGGCCCAGAGCCTTGGATATTACAGGGAGATTTGTGGGGAAGGGAATCCACTGGAGGCTGGGGTTGGGCCAGGTGTGCCCTGGGGCCCTGGGCTGAGCAAGGGAGCTCTACTTCTAGCCAGATGGAGATGTGGGTAACACCATCTGTACAGCTGCTGGTCCTGTGGTGATCTGGACTGTTTGTGAACTACAGGTGGCCATAAGCTGTTGCTTGGCTGCTGTTGTCAGAACTTGTGGAGAGACTTCCCAAGGGCCATGGAGAAACGGTTTTGGGTACCTAGGTTGGACATCAGCAGTATAAGCGTTTGTTCAGTGACCATGTGATGACAGTTATAGAAGTCTAGGAGCATGTCTCTAACGCAGGGTATCTAACTTAGCCAAGAAGCTGTAGGCGGCAAACATGGCTGTTGGAATTCAGTCTTTTTGTCCCCGTTCTAGAGCTGTCCTACTCCAGGTAGGTACTCCAGGTATTGGTAGGCGAGAAGCCACTCTTGGTGGCTTTTTCAGAGCCATTTTAAGCACAATGCATTAGCAGAGACCGGGCTTCAGATTGGTTTCTTAACACGGTTTGTAGCACACGCAGGACAGTAGGGTGACAAACGGTCACACCATCAGCCAGGTCACCACATTGCTTTGGCCAAAAAATTGACACAAGTCAACCCTGAGGAGAGGCCGAGTTCAGCTATGCTGGGTGTGAGAGTCTCTGCAGTAATCTGGGGGTGGGAGTTCAGGGCAGTGAGTTATGGGTTTGTTCCTTGGTTATTCATTGCTCTGTCTTCAGATCAGAGGCTATACTGAAGGAGCAGAGCAATCTTTCGTCTCTGATGTGGAACGGATTGTTTGTAACTGTGTTCTACTGCGCTCCTCTTTGTGAATCAATCGCTCATCTTAAAATAAAAATTAAAAAGTTCTATTAACATCCAAGAATGCTAATATTGCAGATTGCTCCACCCACTCCAAAATACTCATCTGCATGGAATGGTACACAGAAGGCTAAAATGTGGCGAAATTGCAGACATCAGCCTATATGCTTTATGCAGAAATGCCCCCAGATCTCTCATGGACTTGAATAAAATAGTTGTCAGCGTCAAGAACAGTGCTTCTGTGTTGGGATTGTCATTGCTTTGACGCTTGCATGTAGAATACACTGAACAGCCTTTTCTGAATTGAGGTGGTTCAGTGTCTTGTTAGGTCTGACTGCCAGCGGCAATTTCCCTCTATTATGATAAAGACTAACAGCCCATAGCAGCTTTCTTAGAGAGCCTGTGCCCTCTAGCGGCCTGCAGTCCTGATGGTAGTGCCCAATTTGCAATCTGAACACTCCTTGCAAAGCAAATAACGCTTTGGGATATTTGAGTGCGTTATCAGCATGTTTATATGCCTCTCTTTACCATTTTAATGCTTAGACATTACAGTAGGTACACCTTTATGTCTGTCTTGGGATAGGGGAATGGCAGCCAGAACGTGCAGCGTGTGATTAGGTGTCAAACTAGTAATTACATGAAGTGTTTTGTGGGGAGCAAATCAAATTTGGCTTTATAGATAACTTACAACAAGTGAAATGCGTCGTTAAATCCAAATGGTGTATCATTACTGGAGATCTCAAACTATTCTGTTTAATTTTCTTATTTCTCCCTTCCTCTTTCTTTCCCACAGTACTCTCTGCATCCAGCGACAAAAGGCTATATATGGGGGAGATCCAGTGAAGCTGAAAAGAAGATGGCTTGATTTATGCCCTTGAGATCTGTGGTTTACAGAAGTAGGATTAACTTGCTTCTAACCGATGCCAGCCCCTTCTCACTCTTGTGGTAATGGGAAAACGTTGAAGCAGCTTGATTAAACAAGCAGCGTCCTTTGCAGGCTGTAACATCTGCATGGTCTTGCTGTACAGCTTGCTTTTTTTTGTTGTTTTTTTTGTCTCCTCCTTTGGGGAAGAAAGAAGAAAAATTGGAATTGAAGAAATTTTGGTTTTGGCTGTACAAGAGACTGTTGAACCCTTACCCAGATAGCTTGGAATTTGTAAAATTAGTTTAAATTCAGTATGTGGCTTGTATATTCCCTGCCCAGTTTCTCTTGATTGTTTTTATACGGTCAAAAATGAAATAGACAGCTTTTTACAAGAACTGTGTGGATGGGATTTATTGTTCTGTCTTACTTTCCTATTATACAATATTAAATCAAGGCCCTCACTCATACATAATCCAAGGGAAGCCATACGCTTTAACTTCAGAAGAGCAGCTTTATTTTTTATTCATGGCGATAAAAATGACCACGCTGGAAATAATTATTTGGCTACTGCTGAATCCTGTTTTCTTATTTGGAGTAAAATCCAGTCTTCTGTTATAAATAAATGTAAAAGGGGTGAATTTTCTATGATAAGCACAGTATATATGGTGTTCAGCGCTGGAGAAACCAAACTGGTTGCACATCCTCTTCCTCAAATCAGGCTGTCTTGGCAGGGATAGTGGCTGGGTCATAGGCAGTGGTGCTAGATGGTAGCAGGCCTTCAAGCAGATATATATCAGCGTGGTGGGCGTCAATACTTGCTATTGTAGGAAGTAATTAACTTTCCAGCCATTTAAGTTCCTTCCCAGCTGGCTTGTTGCCACCCTTCCCGAGCCAGATCTGTGTCCCACGTAGTCCTGTACGCGTCCAAATCTGTGCTTGGCCTTCTGACTTGAGTAGGGACCTCCATGGCCTGTGGCAACACAAGTCTCACTGACCTCAGTGCTCGGGGGTGACTGTGCTGGGAGGACGCAAGGTTACAGGATACTTGTGAACTGTCTCAGCCTCTGTTGGAGGGGTTTCTGGGGGATGTGTCTGCCAGACCTTGCCCTACCATCACTGACTCCCTGCCTGGTTAACTTGACTTGCTGCATCCCAGTACCCAAACCCCTTGCAATGTGCTGTGCTTGTTACATATTCAAAGGGTTTAAGCCAGAAGGGAACTGTTTGCTCTGACCTGTATGGCCGAGGTTGAAGCCGGCATTAAGGCCTTAGCTTCTGGCTGAGCGACGGCTGGTCTTTGTGAGAACATGCAGCGGAGGGAGGTGCCCCTGTGCTGCAGGTAATTGTGTCTGTTGTTAATTAACTTGCTGTGAAGAGTACATGCTGTATTTCTATTCTGAATGTGTCCAGCCTCAGCTTCCAGCCATTAGGTTTTTCATCCTTTTTCCCTGCCGTTTTTCAGTTCACTGCCTTGGCTCAGGTTGTACCAGCTTTTTCTCACTTCTTGCTGGCTTCCTGCCCTGCTCCAGAAGAGGTTGTCTGAAGGCTGCAATTCAGGTGGGATGATGAGGTGTGGACATACAATGCTCCCACCCCAACATTGCCATGCTGTAGGGCTGTCCTGGACAGTTGGCAAGCATTTGACCGGGAGGAATCTGCTCCAGCCACCAGGTATTTAAGAGCTGGAAAATCGTTGCTGTTTGTACAGTGGAAAGGGAAGAAGCACAAAGCTGTTTTCTTTTTGAGAGTGTTTCTTCTCCCTCCTTTCCTTGCAGGGGGAGATGAGCCAGCGCTCTTGGGGACAAAAGAGACTGACCAGCCTTTAAGGAGGAAGGGAAATGCAGCTGCATGTTCCCCAGGAGGAGAGGTGAGCATCTCCCCAGGCCTGGGGCAACACATGCACTGAGGTATGTGACATGTGGCCCCTGTCTTTGGAACCATTGCTGTTCCAGCGCTGTGTCCTTACGTCAGCAGCTGGCTTCAGCCAGGGCTGCAGAGCACCTGCAGCTCTTAGGATGCAGAGCCTCGCTTGCTCTTGTGTTTCTCTTAAAGCCCTTGGGGTTGGAGCAGAGCTGGTCTCAGCTCCTGGATCGTAGATCATTGCAAAGTGGCTTTGGGATGAGGTAGGGGTGCACTAGAGAGCGTGGCTGGGTTTAACACTCTGAAAACTCGAACCGTGCCTCATTTGCTGACCCTCCTAATTAGCTGCGTTGACGTGTTCAAGCATTAGGTTCATAGATCTGGACTCTGCAGAGCTCCAGGTTCAAACCCAGGAAGGATCAGCTTCACATCTCCTCCCAAGATACTGAACCAGGTCCCATTCTGCTCCATTGCCATTGTTCCCCTGACTCCCCGCAGGAACCGCGGGTACAGGTGAGCCCATTCAAACCGACCTTGAAAACCAAGATTCTTTCTGGCTGGTGGAGCCTGGACCCAGAGTGCTGCTGCAACCTGGGGTTCTGCACTAACCTCTCTGATCGCTGCAAAGCTGCTGCTGCCCTTCCTCATCTTCTGCTGTCCTCAACCGCAGCAGTTTCTCCTCGTGGTGGAAACCACCCTGTGGCTGAAGGCAGTGGTGATACAAGGGGTGGGCAGGATGATGATGAAGACAAGGGAAGACACATCACCAGATGCTTCATGGTGAGCAAATGTATCTAAACACAAACGAGTCACCCTTCAGCGGGAAAGGCAGGCAGAGAGAGCTGGAGGCAGGGGGAAGATTTATTTTTAACTCTGCAGCGCATTAAATAACATGCCCTGAAATGCATGTAAATTAGAGCTGTGAATCCAGCCGGGAGCGCTGCGATTTGGGCCAGACCTCCCTGGAGCCGCGGCTGCACCGTAGTGCATGGCTCTTCGCCCACGGAGCACTGCTGCGCCTGGATCCTCTCTCAGCGGAGCTGCCCAGCAAGAAGGATGGTTTAATATTTAATAACCCCTATTATAAGCTTCAAGGGGACTGTTTTATTTAAATATATGCCCAAGCGTCAAAGGCAAGAGAGATTCGGAGCTGAGCTGCATCGTCTCCAGGCCTAGCTGGCAGTTACAAGATAATAACCCTGCCATTTTCTGAATCAGGTTTGTTTAAAACAAAAAAAAGCTGGGATGATGAAGACAGGGAGGAATGAGATGGACACCAAAGAGGGCTTCGGACCTGGAGGCTGGCGAGCAGCACAGGGTGTCGGGTTGGGAACAGACTGGGGAGCCAGAGAGCTGCCAGCATCTGCTGTGATGTGCTCAAAGGCCAGGTTCATCCCGTCGTTTGGTATCCAACCTCATACTGGAGCGCCCGGATGTGGCCAGCTGCCTAAACCCACCTCTACCTCCAGGATGAAGGATCCTGCTGAGGCACCAGCGACTTCAGCTTTGTTTTGCAAAAGAGAAGAGGAAATAGGAAAAAAAAGAGGTTGTTTCTGAAGTTAACGTGCAGCAGTCCTGTGGTTCGCCTCTGGGGTGCGCGGTGGTCCAGCCAACGTGCACATGGGTGCAGCTCGCCAGATGTCACGGCCCCACGGAGAGCGGGCACCCTTGAGCCCGAAGGCCTCCCCTTGCCAGGATGCCCTTGCAAGAGGGCTGCCTCGGTGCTGATTGCCGATAAAGAGACCATATCAGCCAGCCAATCAACATGAGGTGAATGCGCCTTATTAATTAAAGTCTCTCTGACAAGGGCTGCAGAATAATTAACTTGGCAGCAGCTCCTGGCATGGTTCCCACGCTGGGAGCTCAGCACCCTGGGGTCCAGCATCCTGGCCGGGCACTGCACGTGTGGCTGGGACGGCTCGGCAGCGGCACAGCGGGCGAAGGGCTGCGATACCTTGAGCGTGGGAGCGGGACCCAGCGCTCTGTGACTCCCAATTCCCCCATGTGCTCTGGGCTGGACATGCGGTCCGGCATCCCCTCCGAGGGACCCGTGAGGCTGATGGCTCCCAGCGAAGGGGAGCTGGGGGCCCCCAATCCCAGGACACCCCCTCTGTTGCTTTGGCATGGGTCTTTGCCAAGCAGTGACCTAGGTGGGGGAATTGATTCAGATTAAGACTAATCCCCCGAGGCCACCTGAGGAAGGGGCAAGTGGGGCAGGAAACCCACCCTCCGCGATGAGCAGGCATCCTCTTTGCATGGAGGGCTTCTGCCCCTTAAACTGCAAAAGCACAGCAGTGCCAGCCAAGCCCCAACAAACTCGCCGCAGCAGTGAGTGTCCACCCCGGCTTCTCCGCTCCTGCCCGTCACTTGTCTCTAGGCGCGGGAGCTGGGGCCATGCTGCGGGGGCTGCACAGATAAATCTCGCTCCTTTTGCCCGCCTTAGGGAACCAGTCGATCCAACGCACCTTAGATGCCGATGAAGGTGGAGACGCAGGCCCTCGACGCTCTGAACTGCTGCTGCCAATTACCGTTTGCAATTAGGGCCGGCTCGCCGCCCGTCTGCTCAGCTCAGCAAGGTGGGAGATAAATCGGACTGGTTCCCCGCGATCCGTTCCCTGGAGAGAGTCAAATATTGATTTAAGAGAGGTGCCTACCTGCTCTTAATGGGACACGTGTGCAGTGAATCGTAACCGTGTCCCAAGCTAACAATTTGTGGATTTAATCTAATTTGCTAGGGGGGTTTGAAGGGTGACTGAGTTAACGCTGTTCTTTCTCTCCCTGCTAACAGCCCCCAGGAGGGCAGTCAGAGCTGAGCCTTTTTAACGCTCCGCAGAGCCAACGTGCGGCAGCCGGCCACCGAAATCCCTAAAACGACGGTGCCCGCTGCCGGCTCACTGTCTCCTTCTCAGGCCGACGCGCAGTGCCGCCCTTGCCCTTGGTGAGCACGGCCACCTCTCGGAGCCCGTCCCATGCAAGAGCAGGGCGAGCTCCAGGACAGGACAGCAGCAAAGTGTTCGATGCATAATCCGGGTGCAGAGCAAATTGTTTTCTTACACAGGTTCCTTCCTCCAAGGGAGGTAGTTGCTCGAGAGATTTTCTACTAGAGATTAAATCTGGCCCGGGACCTAGAGAAACGGCCTTTGTGAAACAGAGCTGCTGTCCCTGGGGGCTGCTGGCTGCTTCCTGATTTTTTGGACGGGGCTGCTCAGGGCGAATCCCCCTGCCCCTCTCAGACCAGAGGGTTTGGCAATGCCCAGCGATGACAAGCCAGTCGCAGAGGCGGGTCCCCGGCAGATGCTGCAATCCCGGCGGGATGCTCCCGGACAGCTCTGCCCCAGCACAGAGCCACCCTGGGGTCCAAGTCCCCCAGGTTTGTCCAGGAGCTGTGCTGTGCTGGAAGTGTGCGTGGGGCAGGACAAGTTGGGATTAACAAGGGGGATTTTCCCACTCTGCAAAGGCTTTTCCCACCGCGAGGTACCTGCAACCCCATAATTCACCAGGCAGTGAAAGAGCAGCAAAACAGCACCTAAAT